TTAGATTTTGCTATTTTAACTTCGCACTTTAGTTTTGCGTTTTTGAAAACGTCGGACATTTCGGAGTAAATGAAAACATACCTTTAGTTTCTAATGACTGTTTAGTCTCGCCAGCATCCGCCCTTTTCCCCTCTTTTCTGATGGCATGATTGAAATTTAGCAATATCTAAAAACAACTTCTTCATAGTATAATTCAGAACAGTGGCAATAACAGACCTATGATAAAGGACTGAATTTTCGTACCTTGTCATAACAACAGACATTAATTGAAATAGATTGAAAATTTCATTCTTTAAAATATGTTCTCATTTTTTCTGTGAAGGCTTACAACATGTCTTGATATTGTGACTTACTGGTGTAACCTAGTATATAACATTCCTTTTATGAAAAATATAACATCTCAAAATGAAAAAAGAATCAAATTCACATTTGTTTTCAACAGGCCTATCGCCAGTTGATGCAAAATTCTCTTCTATACCTTGTTTTTAACAGCTTAAATTCATGAAAAATTTAGAAAAGGTTGTTAGTCCTGTTCCTTACTGCAATTTCAGACAGTAAAATAAATACCCGTAACTTGAAAAAATGACACGACTCACGGCCTGCCTTCTCAAGTAACGACACCGAACCGATGTCATCGTAACGAGCCGATTTAAAGTTTCTGACATCGGTACCTTCACATGTTCATTACCGTAATGATTGTCGACTTTCAGATAGTCGTCATTCAGACTTGGCTAAATATACCAGCATACACGTAAAGAATACAATTCAGATAGCTTTCATATTTTCTCACTATCACAAAGGAAGCCCGAGGTTCATTCACACCTTGTGTACGAAAAATGGTAAAAACGATCTGTTTTGTTTGAAATGGGGAAAAAAGACTCATTCCTACATCATTTGCTGCCTTTTCTGAATTTAATACATAAAATATCACAATTACGCACTGTGAAAGGTATGGTCTTAGATTATCAGTGCTAGCTCCTCAGTACTCGTACATCACAATTGTCTCTCTTTGAAGCAGAGAAGCTTCCCATAATCACATTACCATTACTTTTGTCACAAGTTGCTAATATTCTATCAAACATTTACACATTTCAAATATCATTTATTAATTCTCATAAACTAAAATAATGACACACATTCTCATCCCTTACACAAAACACACCGTCTCCCTCATACACCCCCTATGTCATATTATTTGAATGCAAATGAATCAAACATCGGATATGATACATTGTTCAATGTTGAGTTGATTCACATTAAAATATACCTGACTGGTGAAGGCCGGTAACACGAAATTTTAAAGGAAGTTTTAAAAAGTTTGTTTTATTCTACAACCAAAAATTTAAAGATGATAAAGCAAGTGGCGATTCAAACCCCGGCCGCAACTGCCCTTAGTCGATAAAAATAGTTATTACACACTTAGTAATAAATACAGGTTTTTTGCATATGCGATATGGCTGATGTCACAATAGCCGTATCAACCCTGCAGGGCTGATATGGATTTGCGGGGCTGATATCCGTATCAGCCCTGCAAATCCATATCAGCCCTGCAGGGCTGATACGGCTACTGTGACGTCAATATCACAACCTTAGTAAATTAAACCACAATAACAGTACTTGTACTCATACACAATTTTTGGTGGGTTCATATTCTCTTAATTTTAACTTTTTAAAAATAAGGTAAATCTTAATTTACAAATACATGTAATACTATAGAATATTTTCAAATTACGGATCAAGTGCATTGAAATAGAAATAGAAACAAAAATTATAGACAAGATGTACATGATGTAAAGCAATGATTATTTACTTATTTTCTTCTCAACTGGTATGTAATAAATATAATAAAACATACCCTTTTCCACATCACCCTGTATCAGCCCTCCCAATATCAGCCCTCGGGCCTTGCCCCTTGATATTGGTGTCTCGGGCTGATACAGGATGTGATATGGAAAAGGGTATGTATTATTCTCTATGTAGCAACTCCTTATATGTGTGAAAATTCTCGAAAGGGGCATACTACATGTAGTAATCAGTTAATATTTTGTCATGTAGTTTGCATACAAAGTCTTTGTACTGACCATGAATTGTATATTATTTGCATTATTGAACGTAAATTATCGAAATCAAACAGTAGGACAGTATTTTTTGCTGATGTATTTTCACACGAGTGACAATTTATACATGTATTTTAAAAATAAATAATTTTCTGTCCACAAATTTTTTGTTTCATTACGTACACTGTCTCAGAAGCCCCTTCCTAAAAGATGGAGCATCATATAATAACAATTGTGAAATTGAAAACATTGTAAACACGAAGTTCAAGAACAAATGGGTATTATGTAGGTTCGTGTTTGCTCTGCTCCTATTTTGTATTGTTTTATGAATTTTGGATCTTGAATACTGTTCGTTATCTCCATATGTTTCAAATCAATAGTTTTAGTCTTCTCTTGCAGAATGGTTTGTTTAATCTTGATTTTGATTCTGAAAATGGTAATCTTACTTATATTTATAGTTCCCTTTCCAATGGGGAAGTTCTTCAAAATCGCATGTAATTTTGTTTTAATATCTTAATATTACCAACAATCAAAATGAATTTGAATCGCCATACCTTTACTGGATTTATAAATTTGATAAAATCCTTACAAACGGACTTATAAAGCGAGTTCTAGAAAATTATTCTGCAAAGCCTATTTCTTTACTCCTCATTAAGATATTCACAACATTGAAGGAAAAAACCTTCTTGAGTCCCGAATAACAATATATATTCGGAGAAAATCAGATGTGGATACTACAAAAAAATCCAAAGAACTTTTAGAAAATTTGAAATCACAAAGTTTCACTAAAATCATTGATATTAAAACGTATTTTTCGACACTTCATACAATTATTTTCCGCAATACACTTTATTTCATGTTTTTGACATCGATATCACTGACAGCAGGTTCTTTTTCCCAATCAAGTGAAACTCGTATATTTCATTATCTTATCATTGGTCATTTGCAAAATTATTTTGTTAAATGCATACAAGTACTCCGAAGCTGATATTAAAAGGATGCTTGAATTTTAATTGACAATTTCTTTGTAGTTCTTGGAGTCTTCCACATCTGTTGGAGTTCATCTTCCATTATTATTTCTATCGTCAGATTCCCTTATTTATGTAATACCATTATTACCTGCATATGGATTTTGTGTCTCCAAGTAAATTAGATACGCAAGAGTATGCTCTTTGTAAGAACAATTTCTGAAACAAAGCCAGCTTATAACAAATAGGGATTAACAGTCCCAATTAAGTCAATTCTTTGCAAGTTCTTTGGTAGATATATTGACCTTGTCAGCAAAACGTCAAATACTGACTGACGTTTTTCTTGAAAATTATTAGGCTATTTCTTTCTAAAGTTTTTACGGGTTAAATCGAACATGACAAAGAGAACATGGCGGGTGTGAACGGTCGACGGGGATACTTTACTCCTCAATATCACCTGATCCTCATGTTGCTCCGTTCCTGAGATTTCAACGGACTTCTATGATCATTATTGGTGTTTGTTATCTTCATAATTCTTAGTCACTTTTGATCTTGAATACTGTTTGTTTTCTCCATATGTTTCATTCTTTCTATGTTATAAAAGAGAATAAAATTTTTTTTTTGCATTATTTTTCGTAAAGGGAAGGGAAATTGAGGAATTTGCGGTACTTCTGATATTCTTTGAATCTGTTTAAAGATATCAATAAATAAATAGCAGTACTTCATTGTTGTAAATGTAATAAAATTTTGCAAAATACATTTTTCAACTTTCAGGCCTCCAAAAAATTGCTGCTCATGTTGCTAAAAATAATAAGACTGTCACCTTTTTATATGAACACAGTACGGTTACATCAGTCCATCAAAGGTGGCATATTTGTAATAAGCTACAGTTACACGGTATACTCTTGTGCTTGACAAGCACTTACCAATACCAGTAGGAATCAGCGTCATGCATTTTGTATGCCACATAATCCTCCGAAGATCGGATTAAATAGGATTTTCTTAATTGGAAATGCCCTTGATAATGAATGGTATAAATACCTGCAGGGAGGTAATCATCATGTCTCTACAATTACATGGACCCCAGGGCTTTTTCAATATTAAAGTTTCAGACCAATTTGTGCAGGGAGGTTTACAAGGCAACAGTGCAAAATATAAACTGATGGGTTCTATAGTTCTGATTAAAATTGCTACCTTATTTGAATGTATCAAAGTTGATATCTAAAGATGAGGAATTATCAATATACATTTACGATCCTCCGAAAAGTCACTTGAAAACCTCTCTGAAGTATTTATCAAAGTCACCAATTAATGTTATGATAGAAAAAAATTACGCAATATGAGCTGCAACTTTCATGTCGGAATTTTTTGTGCAAATTTTAAATAATTATTGCAATGATATCGATAGAAAAAAAATAACATTAATAAACGTCTGTTGTTCATATTTGCCACGGTTCAAGAACTATTTTAAGCTTCGATTGAATCAAAATTACATTATTGTCGTCCTTTACACATAATGTTTATTCTCTATCATTAATTTATCAATAATCATTATTGTAAAGGACGACAATTATGATTTCTTAATATATAAACCTGTATATTGGATAGTATATAGAAGAACCACTGGGCCAGGAAAATTGAAACTCATCTAAGCATCCTCTTGTAGTGAAGATTCAGGTTTGTTCTGCATTATTTTAGTCTAATTCATTATAAAGGTTTAAGTTACATAGAAATTCATCATGTTAACACATTTTAATAGCTAAATAATTTTTTTCAAAAATGCATCTCATATTGCTTTAAAACTTGAAGATTTAGATTAAATCTCTTCTAAGATGCATTTCTTAAAACACAATGCCAAAATTATAAGAACATTTTCTGCACGTTCCCAGACATCCCTAAGACTAGCTCAGTCTTAATTTGAGTGTTGTATTTTGGAATTAGAAAGAACGGTATTCATTAGAATAAAATTAAACAATTTCAAAACGCACATTTATTGAAGATCCATTACCAAACCAATTTTACGTTGATTCATAAGGAATGCAAAATAGTGTGACGACAATCAAAAATATTATGATTGTGAAATTTAATCAGCAATGAATTGTTTAAAATTTTATCAAAGCATCGTATTTTTTCATCCATCAAGGTCGAAACTGACGATAGGGGGCGACTCTTGACAAGGATATTCCGACTCTTGAAGGCCGTACCCCGCCGTCATATAGATAATTGACACCGTCTCCGATCCTGTAATATGGGATTATATAACTCGGTCGTCTTCCGGGTCGATGCCAACTGTAAATGGACCGTCGGTCAATTGTCATCAAATTGTCTCTGCTGAAAGGCAGGGATTCCGCGCGTGCCCAGTCTATATTTGGATCGGTTGGAACGAGAGATCGTTTGTCCTCCAGGAGGATGTCGCCATCTTCTAAATCTTCCACGTCCACTGGATAAGTACCTGTATGTAGAGGCCGTAAATCATCAGTAACGCATAATGTAGATTCTTCACAACTGTATATCATGCATTGCCATGTATGATTAATATAAATGTACGATTAATTATACAGGAATCTCTATAAACAGTCGTTTGCTCATTGTAGGAAAGAACCGGAGAATTGCAAAGGCAGACCTCGCTATTTAAGCTCCTCTGAAATTGTGTACGAGGCAAAAATTTACAAATATTCATAAGATAGAAAAAAAATCATATCTCTCAGAAGTTAAAGAAAATTCCCGCGCCATCTCATATAAAAGTATTTTGAACTATTTAAATAGAATTTGAAATTACAATCATAAAGTGTCAGGAAGGTATCTAAAAACATTTTTAGCTTTTTTTCAATATTAAAGGGTTATACCTACTTGATTTTTTTTTTAATTCTATCTATTCTTTCCATTATTACCAGCACACTTTTAAACAACATTTCTTACATTTGAATTTCACTCGTAAAATTTTGTAACAAGGTATACTTTCTACATGCGAATGTTGCATGGGTGTTTTTAGTATGTTTTTTGAAAATACTCAGATTTAAAGTAATAGCTATCATCTTGTTTAACATTTAATAAGTTAAACGATTCTCAGAATTCCATATTAATAGAATATTGGAAGGTCAACAGAAATCATCTAAGTGGTTCACCAAAAAAAAAAAAGAATTATGATTTTTCTAGCCCTTGACTATGTAATGGTAAAAATAATAAAAAGAAACTTCTTCTAGATCTATAATTAATGTAAATTCCAATATCTTTACACAGAACTTTTATTTTCAAAAAGGTTTAATTCGTCTTAGTCTGGCCACGACCAACTATTTTGAATTATATTAAGGCAGGAAAAGATTAAAGCTAAAAGCATGTCAATATTGACCTTTTGACAAAAATCTGAGTTATTCAATGAATTATATCCTAAGGTTATTTTATTTTCCCATTCCCAAGTTTAGGTACTGGAAAGGAAGTTTTCATTAATTTAATTTTTAAATAAATGGCGAGATATATAGCATAAACTCCCAGAGAAAAGATAGAGGCAAAAATTCTTACTTGCAAAGTCTGCTAAACCAAATAGAATCACTACAATCCAAAAATAAGAGTGGTATCTCATCCTGATATGTCTAAGATTATAAAGCGGATATGAATCCTATTTAGTTGTGCTCCAGCGTTAATAAAAACGATTGCTATTCACTGTAAAGTCAAGGAAAATGACTTTGGCGACCATCGTCAGTTCATCCTTGCTATAGTTTTGTCTATTGTATTTGTGGGCGATCTGCTTGCGCTCGCGGTATTTGTATTAGTATACAGCCTTGCGCGTTAGAGTGAAGAGCAATGAAAATATTTCGTCATTAAATTGGTTTATATGAACGGGTAATGCAGCGAGGATTCTGAATATCAATATTAAAAGACATGGGAAATAAATAATTGCTTGCTCTATGTTTCAGTGGTTAAATACATAGGTGTTATTTGTTTTTCGTGGTTTTTAGGGAGATATATATTGGATCCCGGTTCCTGAAAAGTAATCCCTGAGATTTACTCGATAACCTCCCAATCAATTTTCTATGTATTATAGAATAAAACAAAGTGTACAATTTCGTGTAACCCATCTATTGTGATAAATGTCACGATCAAAAGTTTACTCAACTCGGCGCAATTTAATGTGATGTGGGACAAATTAACAGTTCATTTGAGAGTTTAAAAAAGGGGAAGACAGTCAGCATTCGACTTAATGATGTATATTTTTTATGCTTACAGGGTCATTGTATCGACCATAGGATTTGCGAAATGCTTTAAACGAGATTGTTTATATCCTGAATCATCAACTTCTTTGTCGTTAGCATGCCTTATTAAAAATTATCCGTACGTAGAACATACTTTTGCGTATCGAATCCATTGGAAGTCATACTTAGTAAACTCAATATGCAGGGGATAAGAGTATTTTGCCACAAAGTTGACTGTAGGAAAGTTGAGTCATCATGTTTATCATGAAGTTTTGTCGTTAAGTTACCATTCATATCTTTTTCTAGTGTAACGGAAATAGATAATTAAGGGAAGGAGACGGGGCGTTCCGAAGGGACCCTGAGCTCGTAAAACGCCGAGTGCCCAGACATTCCGAGTGGGTATGTCACGTGATATACTCATAGTATATATAAGGCGTCGAGACTCGATAGAGTCAGTTTCTGATGCAGTTACTGATGCGATAGAGTGCTAGAGAAGAAGTCCGGTAGTCCTATATAGTTTGAGATAGACAATAGCGGTAAGTCTGTTCGTAAGTCATGATTGCTATGCGATGTGCAGAACAGTTTTTACCCAGTAGTATGTAACAGTCTACGTGAGCGTTGCATAAACGGACTTTCTTTATTAATCTAAGAGTAACCTGTCGCTTCTGGGAGAAGCGACGCGCTGGCGCTTTGGTTGTTACTTTGGGCGCTTCTCGAAGTCACTGCGGACTTAGAAGCCTAACAGATTAGGAGGCGATTTAATCATTTCGTTTATTTGCGTGCTAGGGAAGCACCCGATATTTGTATATTTTGCATCTGTATATAAGTTCCATTCAACAATCAAATTCCTCAGCAAGGTATCTGAGGGGGCCCTAGACCCTGAGAAAAATCATATAGTATATGTGTTAGGCAAACACGTTACAGAAAATGGCGCCCAACGTGGGGCCTTGATTTGGTTGCTTGATTGAATTTAAAAAAAAAGAGTTAACTTCATATATTTCTTATGTTTCATTATTTGTAAAGTTTCGTTGCTTTAATAAAAATGTCGAGCTTAGACGAAGAAATAGCAAGGTTGGAAGCCGAAATTACACGTTTAGGAAGGAAGACGCTTGAGAATTCTGAATTATCCTCGTACAATCATGATCAGAAAACGTCTACTCCAGCTAGTATAAGAACAACCACGGCCCGTAGAAGCGACTCTGGAATAATGACTCAAAGTCCTATAGAAGATGTTAACCAAGCTTCGGCCAAAATCCAGAGTGAAACACCAAGAATTGACAATTTAGAACAAGAGCCCATTTTAAGAAGCGACACACCTATCGTTGCCAGAGAGGATGAACCAGGTGTAACTGTCAGACTACGGCGCTTTCTTGAAAATATCAAGACTGACGAAGCAAAACCAAAGGAACTGAATTCTGTAAAGAAGCCATCTAATTATATTAAACCAGCTACGTATGACGGGACTGGGTCGTGGCTTGATTATAAATCACACTTTGAGGCGTGCTCTTCATTGAATGGTTGGAGCGTTAGAGAAAAGGGTCTTTATTTAGCAGTCTCTTTGAGGGGACAAGCACAGGGAGTGCTTGGGAATTTGAGTAGAGATGATGGAAGGAACTATGATGAACTGATTAAGGCGCTTGAGGATCGTTTTGCCCCTGCAAACCAGACAGAACTATACAGAGTTCAACTACGAGAACGAAGACAGAAAGCGACGGAGACGCTCCCAGAATTAGGACAGTCAATTCGGAGGCTAACACATCTCGCCTATCCTACAGCACCAAACGACGTTCAGGAGACTTTATCTAAGGAACAGTTTATCGATGCTTTGGTTGATGCAGACATGCGTCTTAGAATTAAACAAGCTAGACCCCAGAGCTTGAACGACGCTATAAGGCTAGCGGCTGAATTAGAAGCCTTTGTCAGAGCTGACTCCAGAAGATCGGAATACAAGTCACACTTGCGCGTAGTTACAGAAACGGATCACGATAAGGCTCAGTTCAAATCCCAGATAAATACCGACGAGCTGACCAAAACTCTTAGAGATTTGCAAAGTTCTGTTATGGAACTTAAGACAGAAATGCGTGAAATGAAAAATAAGTCACCTAGCTCAATGAACTGGACGGATCGCAATGACAAGAAGCCACGGCAACCTTCAAGAACAATAAAGTGCTACAATTGTCGTAAAGAAGGACACATAAGCAAACATTGTCCTTCGAAGCAGCTAAACGAAACAACAAAGAAGTTTGGCAAAAGCTCTAAAGCACCGGGTCATGGTTCTGGTTCTGCTCAGACAGTTAGAACACAACGTAAGCTGCAGCCAATTGCTTACAATAGACCCAGTGAGGCTGGAATGTATCTCTCAGCTAAAATAGAAGATGTAGACACAAAAATGTTGATCGATACAGGAGCAACCGTTACGCTCATTGCAAAGAATGTCTTCAGTGAAATTCAAAAGGTTCATCAAAATCTTGTTTTGGATAGTATGCACCAAGACATAATGTCTGCTGAAGGTAGACCTCTAAAACTTTTTGGCAAAGCTACATTAACCTTAACAATCGGTTCGAGTAACTTTGTGAGAACGGTGGTGGTCGCTGATATAACAGTGGATGGAATCCTGGGTCTGGATTTCATGAATGAACAAAATTGCACGTTAGACGTCTCCAAGAAAGTAATGTCAATAAATGGTGAACATTATTCTTTATTACTTCAAGGTATGCTAGGATGTTATCGGGTGGTGGCTTCAGAATCGTTCACTATACCACCAAGAAGTGAAATGATTGCAAGCTGTGACGTATGCGTACCAGAGGGCAAGAACCTTCCAAGTGGATATGGTGTTGTAGAGCCAAGGAATTGTTTGCTAGATTCAAATAAAGGTTTGGTTGGCAGAACTCTGGTGAGCAATCATAATAAGGTTCCAATACGAGTTATGAATCTATCGACCGATGCACAGACGATTTATAAGGGAACAAATATGGGACAGCTTAGCCCCGTGGTAAAGATATTAGAAGGAGAAAATCAAGATAGCGGTCATAAGAAACCTTTTTCAAAAGAGCTGCAGGTCTTAAGTGAAAAGTCAAAAACGTGCTTAAACCAAAAACAGAAGACTGAAGTAGATAACCTGTTATCCAGATATGCTTTTCTGTTTGCTGGTTCGGATGATGGACTTGGCAGAACAAATGTTGTCAAGCATTGTATCGACACGGGAGACGCACGCCCAATAAAACAGCCACCAAGACGGTTACCGGTACACATGAGAGAAGAAGCAGATAGGTTGGTGGACGATATGCTTGAGAGGGATGTAATTGAACCTTCGTCTAGTCCGTGGGCCTCGGGTATCGTTCTAGTGAAGAAGAAGGATGGATCAACTCGATTTTGTATCGATTATAGGCAATTAAACGCGGTTACTTTGAAAGATGCTTACCCTCTTCCGAGGATCGACGACGTGTTAGGTAGTCTAAGTGGTGCTTCGTGGTTTTCAACTCTCGACTTGGCTATGGGATACTGGCAGGTGGAAATGGAGACCAGTGACAAAATAAAGACTGCTTTTGCCACCAGAAAAGGATTGTATCAATTTAAAGTAATGCCCTTCGGCTTGTGCAATGCCGGAGCGACATTTGAAAGATTGATGGAGACAGTCCTTGCAGGGTTGAATTGGGAAATATGTTTGATTTACTTGGACGATATCATCGTCATTAGTAAGACATTTGAGGGCATGGTAGAGAACCTGAGCAAAGTGTTCAACCGATTGGCAAATGCAGGGTTGAAACTGAAGACCAAGAAGTGTTCCTTGTTTTGCAAGTCTGTAGAATATCTCGGACACATAATTTCCGAGAAAGGTATTACTACGGATCCAAAGAAGATTGAGGCGATTAAGGAAATGTCAGTGCCAGCCAATGTGAGTGAGCTACGTTCATTCCTGGGTATATGTAGCTACTACAGGAAGTTTGTGAAAGACTTTGCGAGCATAGCAAAACCCCTTCACAAACAGACAGAGAAAAGCAAATCCTTCGTTTGGAGTGAGGATTGCCAAAGTGCTTTCGAAAAGTTAAAATCTACACTGACAAGTGCCCCCATCCTTGCACATCCTGACTTTAGTAAGCCGTTCATATTGGACACGGACGCAAGTAACTTTGCAATGGGAGCAGTATTATCACAAGTGCACGATGGTAAAGAACGTGTGATTGCTTACGCCAGCAAGACTTTTACTAAGTCCGAAAGGCAATACTGCGTGACGAGAAAAGAGTTGCTGGCGGCAGTATATTTTACAAAGTATTTTAAGCATTACCTCTACGGGCGTAAGTTTATTTTGCGCACAGATCACAGCTCGCTGAGATGGCTGACCAACTTTAAAAATCCAGAGGGTCAGCTTGCTCGCTGGCTTGAAGTGCTGTCCACGTATGACATAGAGATCCAACATCGACCAGGCAAGCTACACCAAAACGCCGACGCGCTTAGTCGTCTTCCTTGTAAGCAATGTGGATTCAAAGTAGACTGGGATAAGGAAAAAGGAGAACCCAAAGTAAGAACTGCAACAATAGACGCCCCAGTTATTCAAGAGACTTATCTCCATAGGGTCCAAAGAGAAGACAAAGAAATTGTTCTTGTAAA